TAATGGGATAAATTTTAGAAAGAATGGTGCAGATTTGAATATTTTGAGTGTTCTTTATATAGAGTTGATGAAGGAGAAGAGAACATATGCTGCGTAGGATTTCCAATGCTGTGAGTTCATTCGGCGATAGTGGAGGAGGAGGCGCCGTTCTCTGATTGGGACTAATTTTGGTCCCAGTCGGGGTACACTTTTTGGTCCAACTTTCTCCGAATTGAAATCCGTTTACACCGTTGCGATGAGACAGTCAAACTCTATTTAATGATACAATTTTTATATTTATTTGAAATACTTTTTCTGACAGCATATTTTTGGGTGTTGACTTTGAGACTTTGACAGAGTCAAAATTGAATTAATTGATATGTAATTAAAATTAGTCTCATATTCAATCAATATTATTAAATATAAATACTTATTTCAATACATCATTTTACAAAAGTTCACATCTTTGACTTTTTCTCATTTTTATACAAATTACATATTTAAAATGTCATAACTGAACTTCTGTACATCAGATGTATTCATAAAATATACCGTTGGTTTCGTCTTTTCAAGACTTATCCATAAAAGTAAATCTTAACAAAAATTATTGACTCTAAAAATTCCTTCATTTTTGGTCGAACATAGAAATAATGCTTTGTTGAGTCAAAAAATTGTTTCTAAAAATACTTTTATAATAGAATAACTTTTAGACTTTGTTTTGGGGCGTTACACACCGACACGACCGACACATGCAGGCTTCTGGCCCAGTTCTTCCGCTGAGAGGCTGTATCTCCGCCTTCTGGACCTCCCACAGTCATCTCGATGAACTCTTTCCAACTGTTTCCTTTTTTCTTCTTTGCCTCATCTTTCTCCTTCAGTCGAGTCCAGGTGTTTGCCTTCGGGTCATTTTTGCCCCCTCCAATGAATTCTCCAAGGTCATCCTTCAAGGCCATCTTTTTGGTCTTCACATTCCTACAATCACCCGTATTATGGGAATCCAATTGGTGATAGGTGCATCACTTTTTTGTCCAGGCCTTCTTTGTCTGATCTAATTTTCGCTCAACCCGAATCTGGTGCATCGTTCCGTCATAAGTTTCCTTCAGCCTTGACAACCCTGCTTGGTCTTCTTACTTGACTTTATCGGCCTTAGTCTTTGTGTACCCCTCCTCCAGCTCTCACTTACTCCATTTCAGGTTTTCGGCCACTACGTACTCCCAAGCAGTGTTGTAGACTTCTTGGTAGGAAGAGGGTGGCCTCATGCAAATATCCGTGTAGACGTCTCCCACTCGAAAAGCGTTCATCAGGAGGGACATGGTCGTATTGTCATCCATTTCCTCCACCTTGTCGACCTCCTCCCTCCAGCGGGTGAGGAATTGTGTCAATGATTCGTTCTCTTGTTGCCCTACTGTGTTAAGATAGGTGAACTTCTTTCTTTTAATACGATTATCCTAGTATTTCGCTCGGAAGAGTTCTGCCAGGCGTTCAAAAGTATTGATCTTTCCATGGGGGAGGTTATTGAACCACTCCATAGGCCTCCCCGGAGTGATGAGAAGAATAAGAGGCACTCCTCCGTATCAGTACACCCTGCCATCTGCGCGGCATTGTGGAAGGTGTCCAAATGGATGTCCGGGCCCTCTTTCCTAGTGAACTTCTCTACCTCAAGCTTGATCTTTCCCCTGGCCTCAACCTTTGTGTGTGGACTTGCGGGGAAAAATGGGATCTTGCCACGATATGCTTCTTCCTTCCACTCTTCTCATCTAGTTTGTCCTCCAGAGCTTGCAATTTCCATACCACATATGCTCCTGATCTTATTAAAATCCTCATCGCGATCTTCATATGAGAGTCAGGTGTAGGCTAACTGTCGAGGCTGGCCTTTGGCTTTTTCTTCGTCTAGGTGGATCGTCTCCGCATCCCTCGAATGTCGTAATGGGGCAGGTTGTCCATCCCTTCCCCCGCCAAGTTGATCAAAAGTGCAAGCCCGAGCCATCTCAGGCCCAACACGTTTTGGCTGACTTGCAGGGTCCATCCTCCTTATCTCTAGTCGTTTGAATGCAGAATCTCGAGTCTTGCTCGGCTTGGCAACGTCTGGGTCCACAACATCGCGGCCCTTGGAGGTGCCTGGGATATTCGAAGGTCCAACTCCATCCATGGATGTAGCCAAGTTTATAAGATGCACGGAGTTGACCATCCTTGGCACGAAAGTTGACAGGGTTGACCTTGGGACTGACACGGGACTCATCCCCGGCCGGATATTGGTTATACCCATTTGATAGTATCCGAGTAATTCATTTCCGAACAATTGGAGGATTTTTTTATTTGAAAATTCAGTAGTATTATGTGTAAATTTTGTATGATTAGTATTATACTTTTTTAAAACATTAGCTTAAAAATCATATCACAACATCTAGAGAGTTTTATATAAAATTACTTGAGTAAATTTCATAAAAGGTCCCCAATTATGATATTGTTTTCCACGAATTGTCCTTAGTTAACAATTCCCGTAAAAAACGTAAAAAAAATTTGTAAATTCGCGCCCCTCTCTATCCTCAGTTAAGCTTCCTCTCTCCTCTCATACTCAATCCCAAAACTGAAACCATCACTCCTCTCTCAATTGTTTATCTTCCTGGTGGAACTCAAAATTGAAATAAATAAGAAAATGACCTTCATGGATGAATTTATGGGTTACTTTCAAGAAATTACAAAGAAAACAAACTTTAAGACTCATCCCTGAAGGTTACTTGTTTTGATTTTGGATTCGAGCAGGAAGACGAACAATTGAGAGTGGAGGGAATGATTTCGGTTTTGGGTTCAAAGCTTCAAACTCAGCGTCGGGTTTGGGAAAGAAGTGCGAGAGGAGAGAGGAAGCTTAATTGAGGAGAGAGAGTATCGTGAATTTACAAATTTTTTCACATTTTTAATAGAAATGTTAACAAAGGACCATTCGTGGAAAACAATATCATAATTGGAGACTAAATTATTGGTATTTGATATGTATAGATTAAATATGTAAAACGAACTATAACTGGGGACCTTTTATAGAATTTACTCTATATTATTTTATGATAAATACTTCATAAATAAAGTGAAGTGCTGCGAAGCCACAATAACTTTTAAATATTTAACATTTTGATATTTATGCTAATTTTATATTGTAATTAATTTTTTTTCAAAAGTAGTTTTTTTGTATGAAAAATAATAATATTTTTTTTCTTAAAGGCAATCATTAAGATAACGTGATGACAACAGCAACAACAGTAATGATGATGATGATGATGATGATGATAATAATAATAATAATAATTTATAACAACAAGAATTATAATGAGAATAATATAAAAATACACAAAAAAAAGTTTTTTAAAGTTTTTTTTATATTTTCCAATTTTTTTTAGTTTTTTCAATTTCATTAGGTTGTTTCAAGTTTTTTTTAGTTTCTTCCAGTTTCTAACAATTTTTTCGAATTCTTCCAATTTCTTCTAGTTTCTTCTAATTTTTTTCAATTCATTCCAATGTCTTCCAATATTCAGCACTTTTTTTCTAATCTTAAAGAACAGGTTCTAAGTAGATTATCGTGAGTGAGAACCATTTCGCATTGTCGGGAGTCAGAACCCGTTGAGGAAAACTAGGGCCGGGCAAGCTGGGCTAAGGTGCCAAACTACTCCAGACTCTCTTGTTTTTGGGCTCAACATTTTTTTATTTTTTAAAAATATCATAAAATTCTTTATTAAATAGTTTAAGAACATAAGTTTTTAAAGTAGTTATTACGATATTAATTTAAAAAACTACGGAGTATAACTTTTTATTGTGTATTGCTCTAATATTACTCCTTTCGTCCAAAAATGATTTCTCATTTGACTTTTTTTGATAAAAATTTATACTCCCTCCGTCTGGAAAAGAAGTTTACGTTTTGACTTTTAGTCATTTTTATTGATGGTTGACTATGGAGTGAATTAGTCCAAAATGCCCTTCCCTATTTCCGGACGGTGGATTCGTGCAGAATAACAACCCAACCACCCATTCTTCTTCTGGCATTCCTTATTCCAATTTTCAGCAGAATCCTCCGCCTCCTCCTCCGCCAGAACAACATCAGTTTCTAGAGACCCATCGATGGTGATGGTGAGCCGGCGGCTAACAGAACCAACCCAATCCCCACGACCATGACCAGATTATTCAGCTTCAGCCACACCACATGATGCTCCAGCAAGAACAGCCCCTCGCCGCCGCCACATCCGCAGCCCGCACTCTGTCACCGCCAGCCCCCATCACCGCTAGCACCTTAATCGCCATCATCTCCCATCAGTGTGATTGCAGATCTGTTTAGATCTAGAAGAAAGAGGGAGAAGGAGGATGAGGAGGAAGAAGAAGAAATTAGATCTACACAAAGAGAAAGACGAAAAGAAAGAAAATAAAAAAAGAGGCGCTGGGAGGAAAAACATGTAACGCCCCGAAAATAGGCCTATCAGAATTAATTAATTGATAATTAATTAATTACTGAGAAGGACTCAAAAATATGTGAATTATAAAGTTGGTCAATAAATAATAAAAATTTTATTATTATGTAGAGTTTGACTGTCCGATTCCAACGGTTTAATCGGATTTCAATTCGGAGAAAGTTGGACCAAAAAGTGTTCCCCGACTGGGACCAAATTAGTCCCAATCAGGGACTTACGATTAGAATCGGAGAAGATAACAGCCCACTCCACTCAGCCGCCGAAAATTTAATTGGTCATTTTAAATGAAATAATCGATTTTCCTAAAGTCCAGATCCTGAAAATATGCTCTAAAATCATATTTTTGATATCAATTAATTATGAACAATATAAATATGAGTTTGTACAATAAAAATGATTTTTTTGGCATATAAAACATTATGTGATGCATGACGGTAAGTTCGGGTGCTAACACTCGAGACTAGGCCATTAATTATTATTAAATGTTATGTTGAATGATCATTATGATGAATTATTATTGTGGCCAATTATGAATGATAAACCTAATTATTAGAATGATTATTGATGATTAAATCATGATTAAAAATGAATATAATGGTGATCATGAAAATGGTGTATATTATTAAGGATATCTAGAAGAACTCTAAGATATACCCACTTGTATATTGATGATGATTATTAAGGATATCTAGAAGAACTCTAAGATATACCTCCTTGACCAATTCATAATTCGGGGTTAAAACGTACGTACGGGATCCAGACCGGATATCACCCACCCGACAAACCATTGTTCGGTTGGTACGTAATCCACATGACTCATAGGGTGGATTATCAATTCTTGTGTTCTGCATTAAACTATTTATAGTTTAAGGGCCTGGTTAGAATTACTGCCTTAGACTAGGAATAGCTAAGAGCTGAATATAAAATGATGTGGCCTTAGATTAAGAATAATTTAAGAGCATTATTGATATATATTGAATATCAAATGACTTGGAATAAAATATTGAAAATATTTTGAATGTTTGAACCATATATTGTGTGCATGATATCAAATGGTTGATTATNTCAGCTTCACCGCTGAGCGTGTAGTGTGTTTTATTTGCTACACGCAGGTAAACAGAAAGATTAATGTGATCCTGGCGGCAGATGGGGCGAGATTGTCAGGATGGATGTGACAAGTTTTGAAATAATTTATGATATGTCAATATTAAATTCGCTTCCGCAATATTGTTAAATACTCCGTACTGTATATGTTATGAAAAATATTATTGGGATTAATAAAGTGTGTTTGAAAATTTTTAAATTTTACGATTACCAAGTTAAATACTTTAGTCCGAATGGGGTTGCAAACCTGGACGGATTAGGGTGTTACAAAACAAAAGAGAAGAAAGAATGAGGATAAAGAAAGAATGAGAATAAGAAGATCAGAGAAGAGTGGCGGAGAAAAGAGGAGAAAGAAAGGAGAGGAGAAAAAAAAAGAAAAGAAGAAGAGAAAGAAAGAATGAGGATAAGAAGATCAGAGAAGAGTGTCGGAGAAGAGAGGAGAAAGAAAGGAGAGGAGAAAAAAAAGAAAAGAAATAGAGGAGAAAAGAAGAAGAGGAAGAAAGAAACGTAGAGAAGAGTATTTTTGGAAGAGTGTGGATTAAAATTAGAAATGTAAACTTTATTTCTGGACGGAGAAAAATTAGAAACGTAAACTTTATTTCCGGACGGAGGGAGTAAATTTTTACATTGGTATATAAAAAATACATCGTGTTTCGATATAAAACTCGACCAATATTAAAATCACAAACAACTTGGACACAAACTACACAAACTTGTCATTTGTGTATTTATATTGTTATTTTTTAGTTACTTAAGATTACTTTATTCATTGTGAAAAGTGCACAAATGGTAAAATTGTGTAGTTTGTGTCCAATTTATGTGTCAATAGTTTTCTTATGAAATATAGTTTTGAAATAGTTAATTTTCATAAAATATATATTCATGTATAAATGTAGATATTAATGGTCAAAGTATTACATTGGAGACCATAAAAAGTCAACTATTTTTTAAAAAAAAATCAAAAAAATAATTTATATAATTTTATTTGGAGGTCTATTTTTTTTTTGAACGGATACAACGTTATCTATCATTGAATGTGGAATTTAGGCCACTTTCTACCAAAATTTCAACGTTCATTGATCATTTAAAGATACGACCATTAAGATCGAGCAATAACTCTAACGTTCATTTGCTAAAGAACAAAATTCTAACGTTCATATTCGATTTCTCCCATAGAACATTACAGTACATTTTAACTTTTGTAGCTGAACTCTTTGATTATTAGTTATTACTCCGTAGTTAGGATTTGAGTGTGCACTTTCTTGTAAAATCATTTTACGGAATACTCCGTATTTTGTAAAAAAGAATACTAGTTCCAAGAAAAATCTTTCTGTTTTGATTTTTTTGGTCAAGCAGTAATATAAATTTAATATAATTGAGTTCATATTAGGTTAATTATAATTTGATATACCAAAATTTTGTAACATTTATTTAAATTTTGTTTAATTTGATGTGTTGCTAAGTCCATCGAATCTTTATTTGGGCTAAATTCACTCCTTTATTAAAATGTACTTCCTCCGTCCCTCTTTTTGTCCAGTATTCCTTTTTGGGTTGTCGCAGTGTATTTGTCAACTTTCTATTTTTGGTAAAAATACTAAAGGATACAATGCCCGATATACCCTTTCAAGTCATGTGAGCCAAATTGAGAAATACGAAGTTTACCAATTAAAGTATCTTCTTCATATTCAGCCAATGAACAAATACTCCGTACTTTCTTTAAAGTATCTTCGTTGATCAACTACGCCGGCTTCTTCCTCCGGTGATAGATCTACTCTCCGGCAACTCCGAATCTTCCTACTCCTGCGAAATAGATCTAATTGCTATCGTTGCTAATAATCCTAACTTTTCCAGGTCAGATCTATTCGCTGGCAGCTATAGATGCTCTCCGGCAACTCCGAATCTTCCTACTCCGGTCGGTTCTTAGAGAATAAAGATCTGGTTGTTTACAAAGCTATTTTCCAAGGACTGCGTCAATGAAGAAGGAAGACAGGGACCACCTCCAGTGAGAGAAGGATGGCGATTATGATCTCCTGTGAAGGGAGGGCGGCAGGCAGTGACGATCTAGGGTGAAGAGAGAACGACGGTCTCTAGTGAAGGGAGGACGACAGACTGGCAGGGACAATCTATGGGGAACGTGTAGCGGCAGAGAAGCCAACTTTAATTTCGACGTTGGATTGTTTAGTGGGTCGATGATTTCAATGGGAATATTTTAGAAATTTAGAGCAAGAGCAATGACAAGGAGAAAGTGAAATGCCACACGCTGACGTGTTATATTTTGACCAATAAAATATAGTCCAGTCATGCAGTGTCACATGAGTTGAGTGGCAATTCCTGCAATGACAAGTAAGTATTTTTTCTACTTTTTTAAATATATACTTCATATTAATAATAAATATTATATCACCGGAGTATATTTTATCATAAAAAACATTTCTCTCTTTTTATAAAATATTGGAGATTCAAGTTCATAATTATTGAAATTTAAAATTCTGAAATCCTAATTAAAGTAAACAAATTGAAGAATCCAACATTTTACTAGCTCCATTGTTTCCTTCATCTGTCAACAAAAGCCTACAACCTTCTCCGTCGTGCAGACAAGCTAGAGCATCCAACAGATTCACAACCTTCCTACAAATTCATAGCCCCACTGTTGTGTCTTTGCCGGGTGAAAACCTAGATCGGTCCATTACTTCCTCTGATCTAAATCTTTTCTTCAATTTTCTTTGAAAAGAAGAAGAAGATTCTTCAATCTTCCATCTCAAATACTCCAATAATAATTTATAAAAATAATAATTGTGAAACTAATATTGCCTCGCAGATGCCACGATAGGTGGGGTGGAACGCCCCTGAATTGCCTCGCGCCTCGCCTCCACTCGCTGATGTGGCAGGGCGTGTCATTCCTTTGACACACCGCTGGTGATGCTCTTAACCCCATTTTTCTCCTTGCCTTGGTATTTGGTCCAAAAAGAGAGTGAACAAAGAGAGTGGGACGGAGGGGTATGAATTTACCCCTAAAAGCCTAAAAATAGAAAGATGCAAACTTAATTTAAAGAGTAAATTCTATAAAATTGGTCCTTTATAATAAGGGAGTTTCCCTATTTAGTTCTTTATTATCAAATATTACTCCAGTGGTCCTTCTTTTATGAGTATCTTTCCACAAATAGTCCTTTTTTGATCAATGATAATTTTTTTTTATCATGCAAAATTCCAAAAGTTGTTTCGTTTGCATCGTTTGTGCATTACATTCGCTTTCTACTACAACCATAGTCTACAAATGTAGTCTTTCGTCGGAATCCTAGCCCACAATCATAGTCATTATTTTTGTGTTATCTGATTAACCAATATCAGAACACGTCACTAAACATAATGTTGATGTCATATTATATTTTAAAACCTTTAAATTAACACCTACCTGACAGAAGATAAAAAAAGACCATTTGTGGAAAGACACCCTTTAAAAAAGGACTACGAAGGTAATATTTGATAATAGAGGACTAAATATGGAAACCCCCTTAGGACCAATTATAGAATTTACTCTAATTTAAAAATAGACTTGTCCAAATCTCATAAATGGGGTATAGTAGATTCATTCAAAAGTGAGTTATTTAACAACATCTTTCCTGTGCAATCAAAGAATGTCAACACTTAGACAAAAAAACTCTTTTAATCTTGAATTGTTAATGTATATTGTATACATTGTACGGAGTATATTATCTGTTTTGGGCGAGTCATGTTGGGCCCGTAGTTTGTAACTGTTCCACTCATGTATATATATTTTCCCTAATCAATAAAATCGTCAACGAGTTCAATTCATAAAATTCTACATGGTATCAGAGCAGGTTTCGATCTAGGTTCGATTCTTCCTGGTTGTTGGACGTGGGTTTAGCAAAAAAAAAACTACTTGTCCGTAGTTTGGATTGAGTTGGCTAAAATAAAAAGACTTTTCACCATTTCTTGTGGTTTTGGAAAAAATTGTGATCAAAACTAATTATCTGTTATGTATAAACATTATAATTGCCTGATTTTTATTTTTTAATACTTTTTTTTCTAAATCTATATTTTAACAAAAGAAATAAAAATGTGTATTAAAAAAGGCAAAAGAAATAGAGTGTAAGAGTATTAAGCGTGAATAATAATACTTTGTATTTAATTATATTCTTTATTATTCTATTTAATGTAATTATAAAATGAGAACAGAATCAAAGTAAGAGTAAAATATATGATATATTCTCAAGTTAGGAATTGAAACTTAAATTACTCTAAATAGGACTCTAAGCTAATCTTGGCTACCAAATGTAGCCAGGTGTTAGAATAGAATTATGATAGGAATAAAATTTTACTCATTTGCTCTACGTTCTTCTTATATAAAGAAGATTGATTCTTTGTATTCAACAAGATAATTCAATATAGATTTTTTTCATTATTGATAGAATTTGGGATGAGTATGGACAACTCGATTGGGTAATAAGACACTTGGGTTGAACCACATTAAAAGATTGAATCCAATCGATTAGTTAGTTTAACTCAAAAGCTTATATACCAGATTATTTTACTCTTCGACTTTCGATGTGGGATACACTCTAACAGTTCCCCTCAAGTGGACAACCGGGCCATTTTGAATCTAACCGGTTGACCACTTGCAAATGAACTCCCATTACCTTGATTTTGTTTTGAGCGCCAACACCTAAAGGACCACGAGCTGCTGGGTATGGACTTCCAGACGAGCAATCGTGTTAAACGGGCCACAGGCCGTTGGATACATACTCCATACGGATAACTGGGTTAAAGACTAGCGGGCCGCTAGGAATAAACGTCTAGACGGACACCTTGACAAACGAGGTTGACCAAAACCAGACTCTGATACCATGATAGAATTTGGGATGGGTATGGACAACTCGATTGGGTAATAAGACACTTGGGTTGAACCACATTAAAAGATTGAATCCAATCGATTAGTTAGTTTAACTCAAGAGCTTATATACCGGATTATTTTATTCTTGGACTTTCGATGTGGGATGCACTCTAACAATTATTATTTTTCTACTTGGCATTGGAGCCTAAATGACCTAAAAGTTTTGTTATTGTTTGCAAATTTTCATGTTGGTGTATGTTTAGCTCTCTTTGCAAAATTGCACAAATTTTGTGCTGCAAATTGCTGTATTGAAGTTGTTTTGATTTCTTGGTACTCTGAGAGAAAAAGGTTTTTCATGTTACTCTTGGTGTTCATCCAGACGTAATTTTGGTGATTGGTTTATTTGTTTGTGCTTCGAGGAAGAAGGTTTTGATGTTCAAGCTTGTGTCATCCAATTTTGACGGTGTTTTTTTATGACATCGTTTTTTTTGTTACTTTTTGGTATGTTGTCGCAACCACAGCATGTCAATTGTGGTGGTCGGTCGTCGAATCTCAGTCAGGCAACATTCTATCCGTTTGTTAGCCGTCCCCCGTGGGAGTCATTTATCATCAAATTTTGGTTGTTCGTATGCTCGGCCAGTCGCCTTCATCCGTTGTTGGCATAAAAAATCAAAGTTTAATCCAAGTTATTTATCAAGTTGTTTTTTTCTAGTCCTAATTTTATTATTCAAATTATTCATTCATGATCCTCATTTTCAACATGAGGGGGAGTATTAGAAAATGTTTTAGGGTTTGATAGTTTTCCTATTTTTTATTTTTGTTATAATAGGAATAGAACTTTACTTATTTATTATACCTTTTTCTTATATAAAGAGGATTGATTCTTTGTATTCAACAAGATAATTCAATATAGAATTATTCTCACTTATTATTTTTCTACACAAAGGGTTATTAAAAGTAAATGTTAAGAGATTAATAATTCCTTTTGAAAACTCAAACAAAATATAACCACATGCATATTCAAAAGAATATAAATACGACATTGACATCATGCAAATCTATGTTAACAAATTACTGCAATTGAGTAAGTGCTCTATCCGAAATTCATATAAAGGAGTTAAGAATCCTCCCAACCGGAGTATTCGTCCAGTTTTGACTTTTGGAACTGTTCATCTAATCACTTTGACTCATCAAATTCACTCAATGTGTAAGCCTAAATATAGTCATGTGTGATCTTGTTTGATTTGTCTTAACATATAGATTATTAATATATAATTTCTATAATTTTTTAATATACAAATTACAAGATAAAATGGATTAAAGAAATGTATTCACTAGTACAAAAATGACTTTTTAAATCGGTTATTTGGACCCTTTTAAATCGGTTTCCAACCGATGCAAAAGCCAGCGATGCAAATACTCCGATACGTTTTGCATCGGTTGCTAAAACCGATGCAAAAACCCTTTACAAAAATTACCGCCAGTTCTGAAAGTTGGCTTTTTGCATCGGTTATTACTAAAAAAACCGATTCAAATGCCCCTACCCAGAAATGGTGCCATATTTGGGTAGGGGCTTTTGAATCGGTTATTTGTTAGAACTGATTCAATAGCTAATCTTTTGAATCGGTTATTACAAATAACCGATTCAAATGCTCCTACCCAAATATGGCGCCATTTCTGGGTAGGGGCATTTGAATCGGTTTTTTAGTAATAACCGATGCAAAAGATTAGCTTTTGAATCGGTTATTGAAAATAACCGATTCAAAAAGGCTTTAAATTTTCAAGATTAATTTTGTTTGTTAACGATATAATGGAATACAACAATGCAGAAAATTCAGCCCATCAACACAGAAGTAACTAATACAAATGTTTTCACAAAAATCAAATCAAATGTCACAAAATGAAATAAACCACTTGAATATCTTAAACAATATAAGAGTAAAACTACTACGTACTCTTCAAAGTTTTAACAATACAACTAAATTCTAAAACTACATTGTACTCTACTAACTTACACAAGTTCATCGAGAAAACCCCCGGCCCAAAACTCTCTAATTTCCTCTAACTCGGCTCTAGTATAAGGCAAAGTAGACTGAAATACCTGCAAAATCAAACAACATACGACATAAAGTTCAATAATTATTACCCTACACTTCACTACTTTCGTAAACACTAAAACAAACTTACCTCGAATAATGGTACTGAACATTTCGCACAGATATTGACGATGA